CTGGGGGGGTGATGGGCTGGTTCCCTGTGTGTTGCTGCTTGTCCTGGTGAGCAGGGGCCTTGCTGGGCTGGGTGAGTTTGCCTGCAGTCGGTTACTTAGCCGGTGCCCGGTGGGATTGCAGGATGAGCCCTGCGTGCACAGCGGGGTGATCCTTACTCTGGGGTTAGCTTGGAAGGCCGGGGGGCAGAGCCAGCCACCTGAGTGAGTTTGGCCGGGGACTTCGAGGGATTCAGTGGGTTTGTGTGATGGTTCTTCTTCTCCGTAGGTGAGCCCTCTGCCGAGGGAAGGACCCCTCTGCTCCTGGGCCAGGGAATCATGTCCCGTCGGAAACAGACCACTCCTAATAAAGTGCATTGTGAGTATTGTGCCCCATGCTATGGCGACACTCTTGCCTGGTCGCATTTCCCTGGAGTTGGGCGGGGGGGGGGGGGGAAGGGATTGGGGGATGTAGAGTTGGAATGGTCAGAGTGATGTAGTTGTGCTCTGTGAGCGTGGGAAGTTACGGCACTGGCCGCGCTCTGGCATGCGTGGCAAGGCTAGGCATGGACACGCAGCACACCTGAGTAGATGTGTTTGTGCAGGGGATGCCAGCCGCACTTAGTCATCTCATTTCACAGATGAAAGTGCCCTAGGAAATGTGGTGTTTGGCTTTTGGGCTCGGCTGGCGTTTTGGGCAGTGAAGGAAATTTTGGGCTGTGTGCTCTGAGAACATGGCTGGGTGCCAGGACCTCCTGGGTCTGATCCTTGCTCTGCCACAGACTCACTGGGTGACCTTGGACAAGTCACCTGGGCCAGGTCTGCACTACTGACCTATATCGGTATAACTATGTCGCTCAGAGGTGTGAAAAATCCACACACTCCTGGGTGATGTAGTTCTACCGACCTAACCTCCTGTGTAACACTAGGTAGTGGGAGAGCTTCTCCCATCCACATAGCTACCATCTCTCAGGGAGGTGGATTAACAACACAAGGGGAGGAGCTCTCCTGTAAGCATAGGAGAATCTTCACTAAAGCGCTACAATGGCACCACTGCAGTATGTGAAGGCAAGGCTTTAGTCACGTTGTGCCTCAGTTTCCCTCCCTGCAGTGAGCTGAGAGGTGACCCTGTGTTTCTCAAGCAATGTCAAGCACCCAGCATTTGGTTACTGTTGCAGGAGTTGCAGTCACTGTGTGCGTCAGCACTGACTGTAGGCAGACACGTAGTGAGCCGTCACGGGAGCTAGGAGACAGGCACACAAACTTTCAGTGACAAAGGGGGCACTGCACAGCTCCAGCTTGTTTCTGCATGGCTGCATCAGAGTGCGGGGAGTGGAGATGTGCGGTCACCCACCCAAGAAGGATAGTTGGGGTTACACGCACCCCCGGGGCCTCGACTGAGCTCATCGACTTGTGTATCTCCTATGAGAACTGTGAAGCGGGGGATGAGAGGCTGGAGTCCTTGCTAAGAATGGAGTGACTGGTAGGAGGGCAAGACTGAGAGCAGAATGCTGCAGTTAGAACAGTCCTACCAAACGCCCCTCTTGGCTGATGCTACCACCTTGCGTGCATTTGTGTGTTTCTCTCTGCTGTCCTTATGTATGAATGAGGCAATAGAAATCTACACATGCTGCACTCTGCACAGCCAGTGGGTGTGTTTGGGGAGATTGTCACAGGGACCCTGAGATTGGGATTTGGAAAACCCCAAAAGCCCAAGAGAGGCATGGGAGGAGGAGAAGGCCTCCCTGGTGGCATTGCCAGAGGTGCTAGTGGTGACTTTTGGCAGCTGCCCTGCAATTTGTACTCTCTGATTCCTATTCCTCTGTGTTTGGTTTGAGACTGGGCACAGTATAGCTGTGACTTGCTGCCTGGTGCATTAACTCTTGGGCCTTGTTTTCACAAGAGACATTTGGGGCACTAACCACTGTGTGGTCTCTCCTAGCATGCCTGTAACACACCTCGCATCCACACACACAGTGCACAGGCATTACAGCTATCATTTGGGTTAGATTTGCTTTGAGCATATGTCAAGGGAGATCAGTGGATGAGATGAGTGACATAACAGCTCTCACAGTACAAATAGCCTTCCCCCTCCTGTCCCACAGTGCCTAGCTGGCCTGTCTGGTCTGTTTGCTGCACTCCACTGCACGGGGTGAAGTTATTCGGAAGCTAGTAATTTGTACGTATAGCACCGCACACACTGGAGTTCAGTTGTGCACTATTTTCACAGTGAACAAGATCTTCTATTTCTGCAATATCTGATTCTATCACCATGTCTCAGAGGAGATCATCATATGAACATGCTGCCAGCTGGTGTGAAGCTAACATACAGGCTCCGGTATCCATCTAGGGATAGGTGCTCTGATACCAATTGAACTTCTTCACACACAACACGTTAATGTATGACCAGGTATCTGAGCAGCTGTTTGACGTAGGCATCACCGGGAGAAGCAAGTGGTGCCACAAGAAGAAAAAGGGACTGAAAGGCCTATGCAACATGACCCAGGACAATAACAGTCTCTCCAGCTCAGGATGGAAAACTGACCCCTTTTATAATGAGCGGCACCGAACTGTTGGGACTCACCCATCCACCCAGCCTGCAGAGAGCCCAGGAGTGCCATGCAGAGCACTTGTGACGGACAAGGAGCATCAGCTCCAAGAACTGGGTGAACTGTCAGTATGAGGAGTCAGAATGGGAGACGACAGGCGTATTACAGGGATCTCTTCCTGGGGACGGAGATAGTTTGGGAGGAGGAGGAATTGGGCCACAGGTATGCAGCTTTTTATTGTACTATCTACCACCGGGGTCTGATTTTGCGGGTTGGGGGCTGGAGAAGAGTTTTCTGTAATGTTCTGAACGCCGCCATTGATGATTGTAAATGGGCAGATACAGGCTCACAAGAGGGAAGAAGTGTTCACCTCTTCCCCGCTCCACTAGTCCCTGTTCTCTCCTCACTCAGCCACACTGGGATGTTTGGCAGCTGCAAGTCCCTCCCTTGCCTGCCCAGTTCAGTCCACCATTATTCCCCAACTGTGGCACCCCCTCATTGAAAGACCAGGGTTAGCTACATGGTCTGCTCTTCCCAGTTAGCACAGAAATACTCAGTTGCGTGGCTGCACTCAAATGGGTAGAATAGCAGGGGAAAAACTTCAGAAGAGCACAGAAACCACAATAAAAGTGAGAATGTTGTTGTTTCAAGTACAGTAACTCCTCACTTAACGTCCTCCTGCTTAACGTTGTTTCGAAGTTACATCGCTGCTCCATTAGGGAACATACTCGTGTAAAGTTGTGCAATGCTCCCTTATAACGTCGTTTGGCTGACTTTACAAGGGAGCGTTGCACAAGTTCCTCTTCTCCGCCTCCTCCCTCCCTCCCAGCACTTCCCCCGCCACCAAACAGCTGTTTGGTGGCGCTTAGGACTTTCTGGGATGGAGGGAGCAAGCGGGGAAGCTGCCCTCCCTCCCCCTCTCGGCAGACAGGACCACCCGGAATGCAGGGGCTTTAGGGGCTGCAGGGCCCTGGCTAAGGGGGCCCTGGCCTGCAGCTCTAAAGCCCCTTTCGGAATGCGGCCCTGCGAGCACGGGCCGGAGGACTCAGGAGGAGCAGGGGCAGCCGCACAGCCAGCGGCCGGAGAGAAGCGGCGCTTTCCCCTTGAAAGCGTCGCTTCTCTCCAGCCGGCTTTGAAGGGGAAAGTGCCTCTTCTCTCCAGCCGCTGGCTACATTTTTCAGGAACATAACTACAGCGTTACGTGAGGAGTTACTGTAGGCAAATATCAAGTACTATGGTCGTTGCATTTACATTTCATTGTATTGCTGCCCCTCCTGCAGGACTATGGCAACTGATTAATACACGTTTCTTATATCATTCTGTTCTGCCATTTAATGCATGAAAAACAATCCTACCTTGCAGAGTGATGCAAAAATAATACAGGCCATGATATATAAGTACACAGCCTGTTCCCTGCTGATTTGAGATACGCAGTGCAATTCTTTTAATCCAGTGGAGATACCGGGGTAGTTCAGTTTAGCCTTTATTTTCTCCCAGTTTTCAGGATTAATATCTGAAAACCTTTCCCAGCCGTCATCCAACCCTGCAGTCAAGTGTTGTGGTAGACATAGCTGTCCCCGAAGCTCACCCTCCCTCCATTCAGACAAGTCACCCTTCTCCTCCACGCCAACAGTTCTGCTACAGAGCTCAAGCGTTTCCTCCTGCTCAGATGTTGCTTTTCTTTTTGTGCCCAGGACCCTTTGCAAAATGATGTTTTTGATGTTCTGCAATAAGTAATGTTTGCTAGCTGGATTCCAGTGACCACCTCCTGGCCCCATTCCCTTCATCTCATTAGCATGTTAATCCTCCCTCCCCACCCACCCATATTCTTATAAGTGGGGTGAGAATTCTGCTATATCTTTAACAGCTCTGGGTGGAGGAAGAAAGCGCCTCGCTTTCAGTTCCAAACTGAACATAAATGGTCACTTGTACCAAATCCCTTGATACTAGGAGAGCTAGATGGGCTATTGCTGTGGTTATTAACTTCCCTTTCTTTTTTTTCATTTCAGTGCCTTTACAGCCATATGGACATGCCCGAACAGGGATGGGCAGGTGCATTAGCTCCCCGCTGAGCAAGTTTCAGGTCCTGGAAAAGGAAGTGCGGAGAAGACCTGTGTGAACAGGGACTCTGGCCCCTCCTTGAACTTGTACAAGTATTTAAAGAGGCTCCTCTCAGAACTCGTGTAGGCTGAGCAGGACAGGGGACTTATGTAAGGCTTTTGCCAGAGCGCGAGAGATGTGAATGGAGGAGGCAGGGCCCAGAGGGGCAGGGCTCAGGAAAAACTGCTTGCCAAGTTGGCACCATCTGGTCTTGGCAGCCATGCCTTCCCCTCGTGCCCAACACCACTGGGGCCCTGTACCACCACAGCCATTCTCAGGCACCCCACTCTTTTACAAGACTCTGGAAAGGAGAACTGGAGCCCAAAAGCAAGGCACTATCAGGAACCTCAGCATGCTCGCTCTAGCCGGTTGTGGTGTAACTCTGGTGACTTGTTTTAGTATTGCAGCAGACCTGCAGCCTTGTTTGTATTTAATAAAGTTGTGGAAAAGCATCTGTGATTTCAATACCCAGCACACTGTCCTTTATCCCTACAAGCCACAACACCACCAACTCAGGAGCTATATGAATGCACACAAACAACGAGAGGAAAATCCCACCACCACCACATCACAAGTCCCTGGACTGGTGCGACTGGCCTGTCTGTACCCCAACAGTGCACTTCTCCATCAGTCCCCTGAGAGGCTAGGTCAGTGTAATAGGGTCGGAGCTTAATGAGGGGTCTAAAAAAGTAGTGTAACATTGAATTCCCTCTCCCCAGTTCCACACAGG